GATATGGAAATGCGTCTGACGTTTCCCTTGTCAAGTTTTGTGTAAACTCTCTGGGGATGACACTCGATCTTATGTAATGCACATCAGAACTTTAAAATACAAATCTTCAAAAACTTTGATTCAAAATTAATACTTGCCTTTTTTAACATTTGGTTTTCAAGCAAAAATATTTCGAGCAAATCCAATAAGTTATATCAAAAAATTTTAAACCGACGCATTTCACGACTTTTGTACGGGAAATTGTCAAATAAATAACAACAACAATTCACTAATAAATCTGCTCCATAGCAAACAAGTATACTCCAAATAAACTTAACAATATTAATCCGCAAATACAACAATAACTTCGTCCATAACTCGATTGTCGAACATTAACTATGCGACATATTATATTGTAAAACTTTGCAAGTCAAGTCGGTGGTAACTAGGCTATCGAGGCGCCGGCTTCCATCCAGACTGTACAAAGGAACGTCTTCAAACTTCTCTAATGAGATGAATAATTAAACTGCTTACGTATTGCGCTAATGCACTATCGACGGAAACAGGAGACACCATATTACAAACAGTCTTATTATAATGCATGGCTTAAAACGTAGGTTTTTTTTAATCCTAATAGGCTATCTGTTAAATTTCTAATACTGTCTGTAGTTTACGCGTAAAGTGTTTTATTTAAAATTTATAATGTCTACCTACCTGCTTACTTTAGATATATATCGAGACTGTAGAAAATAATTAACTACGTCATAAATGCGAAAAATAAATTACATAAAACTTAATCCCTCAAGTTTAATGAAAAAATGGCAAATAAAAAAGTGTAAAATAATCCGAGCTAATTGTTATAAGAGCATGAGTTATGCGCTTCGAGGCTGCAGAATCCTGGCTAATTAAGCATTATATAAGCCGGAAATGTTTTATAAACAAAGCTGAATCCAGCTCGCGATTTTTCTTTTTGCCCATTACCTCACTGTGAGTGGCGTTAAACAAGCATTAGCGAATGAGATTTCTGCAAACATCGGGGGGAAAATAAAACAGATATTTTTGGAATACAATGGTTGACAAAATTACACGCTCCGGTAAAAAGTGAAGCAGCCAGCTAGTCGATTTAAATAAATTGTAGGCGGAAAATACGTTTCGCATTTTTTTTATTCTTCGGCAAGTTTTGCCCGTAGTAACATGTTGACAATACCATCGGTAAATAGACGAAAATTGTCTATATATGTATATATTTTTTAAGCACGGGGTTCACTGAACGGTAGGCGATAGCCTATAGCATCTAAACAAAATGCGTTTCTGGCCTACTTTGTCTTTGGATATTAGGAAATCCATAGACTGAAACCTAAATGCGATTAGACTTCACGGCTTTCTCATCTGTGTTTCACGTTGGTTCGTGAAGCGGACGGAATTTCGATATTCCTACCAACCATTTAATATCGAGATTTCCAGATGAGAAATATTATTCAGAAAAATTATAAAATGATTAGAAATTACCCGGTGGAGATCGAACCCACGACCCGTTTATTAATTAAAGAAATTAAAGTTTAGAAAATAAATTCGGGTTAAAAATAAAAATGGGTCTTTCTTGCAATATTAAGCAAACTAAAATATTGAATTTTAGGATCCTTAGTTAAGTAGAGTGTAAGGTAGTAAAAATATTAATAAAAGATATCATAGTTCATCGTGTTTATGCTTAAAAATTGTTTTGGCTGGCCCTTTGAAAGGTCTCAATTTGAAAAACAGAATGTATTAAGTTCGGATCCATTGCTTAGATGTTTTGTCAAATATTCATGAATGCAAGTGGTCTATATGCCATAGAGACTGCTAGGGTGGAAAACTAATGCATCCACTTTCCTCTTACAGGCAAACAACGTGAGTTTTCTGTAGTGGTGTAATTCAATTTGTTTTCCATCTCTTCTGTTCGAAATTGGGCCGATTGCTATTGGAGAGAAGAAAATAACTTTTATTATTTATATTCAATAGAAAAATGATCATGTGCTTCCTTCCGCTGTACTATTTCTACGCTTGCAAACTAAGGAAAAGATTTTCTACTAATATTGCACAAACTGAGTGAATACTTAACTTTTCCTTTGCAACATTTTTTGTCTTTTTGTTAATTAGATAATTTGAGTACTTATTTTTCTAAAGGCCTCTTTTTATTTCTCTAGCTTGTAAAGCTAGCTCGATATCGGGTATAAATAGGAAGAAAAGTCACTAATATATGTTAATTAATTAAAATTAAATACTTCAGTATAGACATTATTAGGAGTTTTAGGTGAACAAGAATAGGTTATAATTATCGCAATAATTCAAGTGAAAACCCGTCGCGATTACAGCACGAGCGACACAAACTAAGTCGGGGCTTACCGCGGATTGCCGCACATCTGCTTTGCACAGCCCTGCTCATTAAAACGCTTCCACGTTGACCAACCTGCTACTTTATTCAATAACTTTTAATCATTATCATACCGCATACAAATCTTTTATAATGTCCTTCATTAATTGCATTACAAACTTGACTTTAAGTATAGTCTGTGATCTGTGGCCTATGCTAGCAGTGCAAGAAGGAGGTCAATAAAATATCTTAAAATATCGATAACATTAAATAAATAGTATGTAAAATGTGTAATCGGGCAATAAAAGGCGTTTTATTATATTTTTTATTTATGTATTAGAGACATAGTAAGTAGACATAAGCGTTACAGGCTAGGCGGCATTTTAAATCCTTACGTCCAGTTTATTTTCATATTAACGATTAAAAACGTGATATATATTAGTTAAACATATTTGGAAAATATTTAGACTACGGCCCCACGTTACGGATACTTTGCAGCAACTGTGGTCACGGAGTCGCCGCGTACTACACGCGTAAACGAGAGACAGTAATTCCTATAATCGTTTTTATGCATTTAATACAATGAAATGACTAACTTAGAGCTGAACCACACCTTAATACTATTTTACCGCGCCTGTCGTGTAACATTACTCGTCAACTTCTTATCCACATAGCTCGGGCCCAGGGCGATGAAATATTAAAGGAAGCTTTTGAAGAGGAAAGTAGGACGTTATAAGTGAGTGATACTCATAGATTATATGCCACATTCAGTTCCTAAAGTAGGCTATCGACATGCATTTGGCACATCGCTGCGTCATAAGCCACTAATTCATTGCTAGCTTTGACACCTACTTAAATATTACGTTTCAAGTTACTAATTGCTCAATTATTACTATTGCTGCTAATATCTTCTATGCTTTACGTCTTTGATTGCTTAGTACCACAACGGTAATGAACGATTAGTCGTAGTTTTTAATATATAATAGGTTTTTAATTCAATAAGTTTCATTTGGATTTATAATTATTTTTTTTTAATCGGTTTAAGGGACGTGGAAACAAAATCGAATTTTAGTATAGTTCACAACACCACAGATAGATCCATTCATAGATGGAAGAGCCAAGTTCACTTTATATAATAATGTCATTAAGACTCCCGTTGGAACATTAAAATAAACATCTATCTTTACTTTTGAAAATTTGTACTCTTTTAATACAAATGTCAAGCGCGGGGCGTCACTTAAAATCTCTATATATATAACTAGCTACAAAACCTCAATATAAGTTCTATTATTATTTTCAAGTTTATTCCAAATGGATATTTGTAGATAAGTTGATACATTTGAGTAATAATAAAAAACAAATAAATAAAAGTGTGTAGCTATAATTGGATTTTAAAACAATTAAAAAAAAACTCAATAACCAAACAATGTAGGGTACTACCATCTTAGCAACCAGTACGAATCAACAAGCATACTAGTCATGGTCAATCCTTTTGATGGAACTGAGTTGTTATTTTTAAATTCAGTCCCGGGTATAAGGAAGCTTCGGCACTCTTTCTATAACACGGAATAAACATATTTACAATTTCCATAATATCTCACGTTCACGGTCGCAAACATCAAATAAAGTTGTTTCACTTACTTATCTGAGTGTGAGGGTTCGTGCGAAGGGTGCATTAATGACCTACCTTCTCGACCATTGCAAGCACTTTCTTTGACTTTTTGAGCTCTCAACAAGAAAGAAATATATTTGGAAAAGCACGCTGCTGCGTACACTTGAGGCTGATTTTATTAGGGCGTGCTATTTCACAAAATATAATTTACTTTTCATTTATAAGGGCTCCTGTGTTACTACAACCCACTTAAGATTTATTACACGGTATATTTATACTCGTATTGCGAATCTACGCAGTATTGTTAGTTGAAATGTTTTGTGTTTTTCGAAACCAATAAGTGTTTCTATAGAACCTTATAGAAGTAAAATATAATAGGTTCGTCGAAGGACGCCAAACATCTGCTAATGATGTCATCCACTCGTGATTGCGATCGAGATCCATTTCTTAAATATATAATATAATAGGGCATCTGATTTCACTTGGTGGAAGGTGATGAACCTCAGCCATGTAACATCTTAATAGGACGCGCTGTCAACCTGTTTTGGCTTTAGATATTCGAAAATCCACAAACTGTTACCGATTAATCTTCACTTTCTTATCTGTGGACTCGGGAGGACTTTAGATATACCTATCACTTATTTAATATCCCGATTTCCAGACGAAGTCCAACATGTTTCAAAAATATATATAAAAGTATCAAGTTGGAAAACATAATTTTAAATAAGTCTACTAATAACAGTCCACGTTTTAAACCGTTAGAAGGTTTTTTATTTAATATTTACTACTCGCGTAAACAACCGACATTACTTGCAGACCCTTTGCTAGCACTAAACCAACGAACCTGCCAACAGTTGGTTCTAAAAACAATACGATGAAACAATTGTCTAAAACTCAATGTAACATAGTACAAGAGTAATTGAGGTCTCGTGGCTTACATATATTAATTACGGGCTTGCAGGGATTGCATTCTGGGGATAATGCTGTAATAACCGTCCGTAAAAACCTTGAATCTGTGGTACCATTACTATATATATATTGTGTTTTCTTATATTATTAATGTCAATTACCTGCTATTATCAGAACGTTAGAGGTCTAAACTCAAAAACAGCTACTTTTAGGTTAAATGTCTTAAACTGTAATTATGATATTATAATTTTATCTGAAACCTGGCTTAACGCTAGTGTCTACAACTCTGAGATCTTCGATGACAGATACAATGTTTATCGGCGGGATCGTTCCTCTTCAACACACTCAAAACATAAAACAACTGGAGGCGGCGTCCTGATAGCTGTATTAAAAACCTTACCATCACAGAGACTAAACAGTTTTGAAAGTGACTGCGAAGATCTTTGGGTCTCAATAAAAACTTCTAGAGGCAGTAAATCTATAAATCTGAACATTTGTGCTATCTACATTTCACCCCCTGTAAAACGAACTATATTAGAAACCTTTATAGACAAAGCAACTGAATCCTTGGAACAAATTATGTTGCAAAATTGTAATTCTACTTTCATTGTAGGCGACTTCAATCTTGGTGGTATCAAGTGGTTTTCAGAATCTAACAAACATAAGGTGACTAATAAAGGAAACAACCTCTTTAAAACATTTATAGATTTTACTCACCTTAATGGACTCAACCAGCTTAATAATATAAGTAATGTTAAGGGCAATATCCTTGATCTTGTTCTGACCACAGAGACTAACTTGAGTGCTGTCAATGAAAGTCAATTTCCACTCAGTATCATCGACTCCTATCATCCTCCTCTCATCATAGATATCCCCATCCCCTCTACTGCATACACCTCCCCATATTATGCAAAAGCAAAACCGTCAAGCCAAACTTTCGCAAATGTGACTACACACTTATTGAAGCAGCTCTTGATAATATTAAATGGCTCGATGAATTCCATGCATGCCCTGACGTCAATAAAATGATTAACCGCTTTTATCAAATACTAAATAACATTATTTCCGAGTATGTACCGAAATCACAAAGACGTAGCGCCAGATATCCTGTTTGGTTCACGCCGGCTGCAATACGAATGATAAAAGCCAAATATAAATGCCATAAAAAAATTAAAACCTGGAATAATCCAATTGATAGGGTTGAATTTCAATACTTAAGGAAAGATTGCTTTAAACTTCTAGCTGAATGCCATAGTAACTACCTATCATCTATTGAATATAAAATTGGCCAAAATCCTAAATATTTCTGGACTTACCTGAAAAATCTTCGCAAAAACCGTAGTAGTTACCCGCAGACTATGTCTCTTGAATCTACAGTAGCCACGAATAATCAAGAAATCTGCGATTTGTTTGCAAGTCACTTCTCGTCAGTCTATCAGGGCGTAACATGTTCTACCTCTACTAACTCTTCCGAACCCCAAACCTACGTTGGCAATATCTTCCTCTCGAATGGTGACGTTGAGAAGAAACTAAAAAGACTTGACTGCACCAAGGGCGCAGGTCCCGACAATATCCCTGCAATCTTCCTCTGTAAGTGTGCAACTGCTATATCCCGTCCTCTCACTCTTATATTCAACAAATCCCTTGAGACTGGCTCATTCCCAACCAAATGGAAGGAAGCTAGAATTGTTCCGATATTCAAAAGTGGAAAGCATGAAGATATCGCCAATTACCGTCCCATATCCATTCTTTCTGCGGCGGCTAAGGTTTTCGAGTCCCTCGTCTATGACTGCATAATAAACCAACTTAGGTATAAAATCAGCAACCAACAACACGGTTTCATGAAGGGTCGTTCAACAGCTACGAACCTGGTTGAGTTTACGAACATTATCGCCAATGCTATTGATAAAAACCTGCAAGTAGACACCATCTATACAGACTTCTCTAAGGCATTCGACAAAGTAGATCACACTAGGCTTCTGGCTACGTTAAAGAAATTTGGAATAACAGAATCTCTATTAAGCTGGTGTGATACTTACCTGCGAAACAGAACAAGTGTAGTGGCAGTTAATGGCTTTCTATCCTCACCTTACCCTATTACCTCTGGCGTGCCACAAGGCTCAGTCCTTGGGCCTCTCTTCTTCAACCTCTTTGTCAATGACATAATATCTTGTTTTAAACATTCAGAAGCGTTCCTGTTTGCAGACGATTTAAAATTAGCTCGCGTTATAAGGAACGAGAACGATGCTGATCTGCTACAGAGTGACCTTAATGCTCTATCAGTTTGGTGTAAGACTCACTTTATGTACCTAAACTCCGTAAAATGCTTCCAAATGTCTTATACACGTAAACTAAGCAATTTTGACCATCAATATACTATTGAGAGCCACCGACTGGAAAAGTTATCAAAAATACACGACCTAGGTATACTTCTGGATGCAAGGCTTGGGTATATCGACCACATCGACAAAATTGTAGCTTCGGCCTCGAAATGTTCGGCTTTTGTCTTGCGAAACACAAAGAGTTTTAAAAAATCATCCACGACGTTGCTTCTGTATAATGCACTAGTAAGATCCAAATTAGAATACTGTAGTCAAGTATGGAATCCTAGCTACGCAGTCCATAAAAATAGGATTGAAAACGTACAAAAAAAGATACTTAGAACGCTAGCCCTCCGGGAACATTTACCTTGCGCGAAGTATATCCCGTATTCTATAAAACTAAATCATTTTAGCATCCTGTCACTAAAATCAAGACGCCTTCTGCTGGATATGATGTTCCTGCATAAAGTGGTAAACAATAACTTCGATTGCCCATCCCTGTTAGCAAAAATAAATATCAACGTGCCTCACAGACCCCCACGCAAGATGTGTGCATCCTTTCGTCTTCCCTTGAGCAGGACACGACTTGGAGTCGATTCCGTGTTAAACAGACTGTGCAAAACGTATAATGAACTGTTATCGAAGATTGACATCGACATAATGTTTGACACATCCCTTACTTTTAAAAGAAAGATCAAAGCTTACCTAAAAACTGTTTTTGAGTGATTTTATTTTATATTACTTAGTTATTGTATTTCCTCTTTTTTTTCTTAGCATTATATAATAATTAATTAAGAATATGGCGCAAAATGTGCCTAGTCCAACTTGTTATTTATATGTATCCTGTATGTTAACTGCCAATCGACTACCATGTTGCTTAATTTATTCTTTGTAACTAGAATTCACGTTATTATTTGATCAATGTCTATCTTCAATTGTATGTACACGTGTATTTCTGTAAGAATAATAATAAATAAATAAATAAATAAATAAATAAAACGATTGTGGGTCTGAGACGACCGCAGACTTCAGACGACCTGCTCAGTTATGCGAATGGCATGACTTTGGGTCTACCGCTCTTGTGTCTTCTCGGCTATGATAAATATGTTAACTGGAGGACTGTTGAATGCGCGAAGAAACGTTTTTTTATTTCTTAAACAAACAAACAAAAAGTACTTTATTCTCATCACAAAAATATTACAAAAAAGGATTTAATTTGAAGAAATTCCAAAAAGTAGCGATAACGGTGGCTTTATCGCTAAAAACCATTTCTTCTAGGCAACCTTGAAAATTGAGATTTAGAATAATAATTGATAATAAGGGTAACACTAGAGCTATAATAAGTTTATACAATGCTAAGAATATTCTTAACGTTTGATTTAATAATTAAAGTAATTTACCTGATCAAATTTGTAAGGAAATAGCTACATCTTTAGGGCTAACTCAGCTTAATGCTGCATGAATCAATTTCATACAGCGCTATTAAGAAAGACAGTAATTTTTTCAACTTTGATTTAGTGTAGAACCCCCTTTTGTCTATTAAAATACAGTTTCTATGATATTAAAATGTAACACAGTCTATAAAAGCAACCCTCGTATGCACTCCAGCTTCAATACGGCATAATAATGAACCTCTTTCATAAACACGAATTGACTACGTATTTTTTTTTCGCGGTTTCAGGAAATCCATTAAGTGAAGGAACAAAATAATGCAAATACGATTATGTACCGACCGGGAGCTAAAGCACGATGAATTGCAAACCTCCATACATAAATATTTCAATACGTTTGACATTAAAATATTCGCCAATATAAAGAGTGTTCGGGTACATCAAAGCGGAGTTAATTATAATGGCAATCCATTAGTCGAGTCAAAGTCAATGACACGTTAAAGCAGACGACGTATTTATGAAAACGCGATGTAGAAGAAAAATCCGTCACAATAGTCTAATTTGAATGTTTTCGAGCTCCGTTTGCCCGGCGAGCCATGAATGGGCCTGATCGCAGCAACAATGGACCGTCACTCGCCTGAATAGCAGCGAAAGGGTGCTTTTTTCATGAAAAATATAAACTGAAATGTTTGGGTTTTACTTTCTATTGTTTCTGGAGCGCATGTAGAAATGTTTTATGTAATGGCTCCGAATGATTAGCGACTGACGGAGTGAGGCTTTAAATTATTTCATGCAATCGCTGGCCAGCGGTGGATGGGGTGGGGTATATTAGACGGGGACCGCGCCGCCGCTGGCGAAAAACAGTGCTCTATGAATCATTGATAATTGTTCCAAACCCACTAAGCTATTTATTTCGATCGTTTATTTTTTCACCACATAACCGCGCGAGGAACTGTAACCGCAATGAAAATTTCTCACAGGTTTCGTAAATAATAAGATAATTTAAAAATATTTTAAATTTTCATTTCGTGACCAAGGATACCTAAAAGACACCAAAACGTCAAGTTCATCATAGTTACGATAAATTAATCTATAATAAATCTAATACCTAATAGGTATTTTTTTGTTGTATTCGTAGCTAATTATGTAAACGTTAAAACGATATTCAGATGAGCCGTATTTTTTAACAATTTTACCAGAGATCAGTCACGGTTACGCAGAATTAGCTGCGCGGCTATCTTTCCAGGTAATTCCTTTTCACGTTAACAAACGTGAATACGCCCTCTAATTATTATGCCTCGTTTCGAATCGTAAATAAACTCGGCTGAGCTGGGCTTATATAAATCATTTGGCACATTGTGGCTCGACTTAATTTGTGGATAGAATACAAAGCCACTGTAACAATCGTATTTAACATAGGTACGTGGAATTAGAACAGCGTTAGCGAATAATATTCATACGCAACGCTAACCGCCCTATTAATTTAGCTCTGGAAGTTGAGCATCGCACTAACGCAGTCCTGTTCTTCCCCGAAAGCCTGATCAATTCTGACTTGAAAGTTCCATGCCCCAATGTCCTTAATACTTTAGTTTTAATTAATTCAACTCGTTTGTCTCTTAAGACGAAATTGTAATGGTACATTATGATATAAATGCGGTAAGTTGAAAATTACAGCCGAGGCGATATTACTAGCCCGAACCGAAAGCAGAGGCTGTAATTTTCAAAGCGCACGTATGTCATACGACGTTTTTTAACATATTTACGAGGAAATTAATAAAAACAATACAGCGAAAAGAAAAAGCGCGCGGAATTATTTTTACTTGTCCACAAATAAGCGATGCGCGCCCATCAACGTTTTTTTTAGGCAAAGGTACAAAAACAGCCTGTATTACTAATAAAGTAAATTAATATTTTTGTGTTTGTTATAGATAGATGGTTGTAATTTATTGTCAAAATTAATTAAATTAAAGAATGCAATGTTTATTTTATTTTATTTGCCAAAGTTAATTTTATTCATAAAATATTGACCACTTTCTTGACTTGCTAAGATTTTTAAAAGTACCGTTAATTTTTATTTAAAAAAAAACACGTGCCTTTTACATTACATTATCGCACAAGTACGTAATGATATACATTACGATATTGAAATTGGTGTAATTACAACCACTTTACGAGCAAATATGTTATAAAAAATATTACGAAATAGTTTGTATTTGGTTCGGGTTAGTAGATAACAATATGATACAACTCAAAGCACTTTAACACAAGGATTTGACACGGTTTATACACAGTAACAGAAGTATGCGCAGCCAATGCA